TGTGTAGTGTCATTTTCTGTTACCCATCTTATTGTTTCACAAGTTTTATGATTGTGTATTGTAGGAAATATTAGTTGATTGAAAATATGAATGCATATTCGAATTTGGAAATGGCAGATATGCATTTTACATACGGTCGTGCTAACGGTAATTCATTGGAAGCGCAAAGACTTTATGCTGAACAGTACCCACAGTGTAGACTACCCCATCATACTACGTTCACAACTATTCACCGACGCTTGTGGGAACGTGGTAATTTTGAAAAAAGAAGTTATGATTCTGGTCGTACTAGAGAAGTTAGCACTGCAGCTGTAGAAGAAGCCGTACTTAATTCAATTGAAAAATTCCCAGAAACTAGTACCAGGAGAATAGCTCGTGTCCTACATGTAAGCCATTCCGTTGTTTTTAGAATTTTAAAAGACAAAATGTTGTATCCCTATCATCTTCAACGGGTGCAGGCGTTAATGATTCGAGATTTTTTACCCCGTGTGATTTTTTGTTAATGGCTTATTAATATGATTGGCCAAGTACCACAGTTCTTAGGTAATATTTTATTTACTGACGAGGCGAGTTTCTCAAGAGACTATGATAGAAATTTTCACAACAATCACCTTTGGGCTGACGAAAATCCTCATGGCTTTTTTGAAGGAAATCATCAGTATCAATTTTCATTAAACGTGTGGCTCGGAATTATTGATAATCATTTAATTGGTCCCCATTTTCTTCCGCTACGATTAAATGGTGCAGCATATTGTCATCTCCTTGAAGAATTACCTGTTCTTCTTGAAGAGGTTCCCATTCAAATTAGGCAACATTTATGGTTTATGCACGATAGTGCACCAGCTCATTTTAGTATACGTGCAAGAACTCACCTGGATGAGGTGTATGCCAATCAATGGATAGGTCGAGGAGAACCTGTAAACTGGCCAGCCCGCTCCCCTGACCTTAATCCTTTTGATTTTTGCATATGGGGATATCTGAAATCTTTGATATACACAAACCCAGTTGAAAATATCGATGATCTGCGAAACCGCATTGTAGCAGGGTGTGAAACTATAAGAAATTCTCCAGGAATATTTCATCGTATACGCAATTCTATGAGGAAAAGGGTAGATGCTTGTATTGAAGCTGAAGGCGGTCATTTTCAACATTTATTATAATTGTATTGTATTAAGAATCATAATTTGGTTGGCTGTTGTTTAATAAAATGCTATTTTACATGAGCTTATTTATTTTTTTTTTCGAAAAAAACTTGTAGAGATAAAAAAGTTAGTCAATGAATTGGGCTTTTCAGTCATACTTTTTTAAAGAAAAAATTTTCATCTAAAAAAAAGTTGTAAGAAAAAATATCTTAGGGGTTGATTATTTCAACCCCTTCTAAGCATACTTCAGGGTTGAAAAAATTTCAAAAAGTGTATTTTTATTGACAGATAATGTTTACCAAGTTTCGTGTCTTTAGCTTGATATACAGGGAAAATAAAAAAGAAAAACCATTTTTTTTTTAATTTTCGAAGGAGTGTAACTTTTCCGGGGAGGGTTTTTTCAAAAAATTTTATACCAAACACTCACATTAATTTTCATCACAGAATCACCCCTTTAATTTTTTCGGTGTTATTTAGATACGCTCACGTAACTATAGATCTTTACTTTTTTTGTAAGCAAATCCAAAATTAATGAATAATTATCAATCCTGATTTTAAATTACTTTTTTTCTCATCCTTATACACAATCAGCAGCAGCAGGCAGTTCCAACATATATAACAAACGCTCGAGCGATCATAATAGAATGAAAATTAGCAGCGGTTCGAATAGCTATTAATCTAACGAAAATATAATTACAACAACTAAAGCAGAATTCGCAACATCAGTTCTTGATTTTCGATTCAATTAGAGAAGATGGTTAAAGGAAGAAACCAGTTTCTAAGAAAATAAATTTATGTTCATGTCGAACAGTTTCGGTTTTTTGGTCAAAGTTTATCGGATAAATTTTGAAACAAGCAGGCGCTCGTCGCGGGTTATAAATTATGTTAGTTTAAATTAGTTTTTTTTTTTTGTTTAAAATTACTTGAATTTCTGATTTCTGTGATTATTTATAATACACCTAAATAACAAAGAAGGTAGGAACTAGTGTAATTAAAAATGAACAAAAATATCAACAAATGTGTTAGTTTAATTAATGGATTATACAGGGTGTTCGATAGGTACGGTACATAACTTCAGGAGTGTATTCTGGAGCTAAAATAAAAGTATTTTTTGTTATACGTAATATGTCTCAAAAATGCTTCGTTACGGAAATACAGGGTGTGAAAGTTTCATAAAAAAAAATACAATTTTTTAAATATTTCCAAAACCACTTGAGATATTTAAATTAAATTTTTGCAGCTTTTGAAAGTTAGCAACGTTGCGTGTTTTACTGTTAACACAGTGGCTTTCGTTAAACCAGTGGCGTGCGGACAAGGTAATAGCTGAAAAATATGGAAGGAAAAACGTGTTACGCCGCTGTTTTTTTTTTAATATTAAGTTTTTTGAAAAATGGCCCATTCAAACAGCAATTTTTACTACTGCCAACCCAACCGAAATTTACTACATCGTGACTGTCAAACCATGTTTCATCTAGATAAATTATGTGTATTAGAACTTTTGTAGCCTTTTATCTGATGCAAATAATCTTGTCGCCATTGAACTATCCTTGACGATTCGGTGATTGCCATCTGTTTATTCAATTTTTTGTGTTTAAAACTACATGCTGACAAAACTTGACGCAATGTTTCCAAACTGGTATAAGTGTATCCTGGAAAATCTGCCACCTTTTGCTGTATTACTTCCAATGTCGGAACCCTGTTCTCCTTATATAAACTATAAATTGTCCTTCGTATAAAATCTTGGGTAGCTCTATCAACTGATTTCAGTTTTTCTTTACATGTTTTTCGGTTTTATGAATAATCCACAGCAACCCCTTTCGTGACTACCGGATAAACGGAAAATTTATTTACTTTAGTTAATTCAGCAATTGTTATTATGAACGCATTATCAGACTGCTGAATATTTTCCTTTTTGAAACATTCGAATATATTTAAAATAACTTGTTGTGTTTGTATATCTAAATCCTTATCGTTAAAGTCATACCTGTCTTTAATCTCACTACACTGTGCAATTTCATTTTCTTCATTCGCCCATGGTCTAAAGAACGCCATATTTATATTTATTAAAAGAAATTTAAATTAAACCAACCACACATACAAAACACACCGCACGACAGTACTCCACTGATATCGCAGACTGTCTTCCAGGAATATTTTCGAACACCTGCCTTCCGTAAATCTTCGGCCAATACAGTGCATTTAAGTTTACGATTCGATGTTTTCATTGGTAAACAACTGATGGTTCGTTTAATATTTACCGCTTTGTATAAGGGGAGTAAACATTATTTTTCGTTTCTTAATTTGGCATGAGTACCGTGCGTATATATTAAATATTGATGATTCCCCACATAACTGTGTTCTGCAATTGATAATGCTAACATGTACTTATTATAACATTAACGAATAAACAATCTACTAAGCGATGCAAGAGTATACCCTGCACAACTCGTATACAGTGTATACATGCAATACTCATTACACTATTACAGTATTTACTTTTATTTATAATATACAAATATTCTAAATTTAATTAAACAGTTTCAAAATAATGTAAGCATGTTCGCAATAAGCTTATGTCTATAAATCTGGACAATTTCTCAGAAATCATATTGTATACGGCTTTGTTTTAGTCAGTAATTAATCAATTGGTGCTTTTACCCGGTTTCTATGTGTTGACTTTGGAGATTGTGTTAGCAGTAAAGGGCAGAGCATTTAAGCTGTGTTGATCTAATATTAGATTGTGGAACTTGTGTACTCAGAGCTCATAAAATAGAAATTTTATTGGTACACAAATGTCTAAAATTTAATTCCTAAAAATCTTAAGGGAGGTATAACTCTAAAGATGAAATTATATCATAGTTATTTATATATTTTTTAACATAGTTTAAATGCAGTTGTTAAATTTAAGTGCAAAAATCATACTAAAATATTGTTTATATATTAAAATATTTAGTGAATATTTTTTGGCATTTGTGTTACTTTATTTTTTTATACCAAAATCTTTATCAATTCTTCTATAATACGAAGACATTTTCAGATACTTAATATATTTAAAACCAAATGCGGAAGAAGTCCGCAACAAAGTGCGTTTTTATCAAGTCTTTGGAAGAATGATAATTTCACGTTAAATTTAATAAGTGACGATGATGATGAAAAAAGGCTGCAGGCACAGATGTTATGTCTCCATATATCTTAAAAGATTGCCATTGCTTCATATGTTTAATCTTATTTTAAATTTTCTACTTTCCCTAATCTGTGGAAAATGGCTATTTGTACTCCAATCCCTAAATGAGGTAGTACAAGGAATATGGAAAATTATCGGGACGGTGGTGTAGCGGTCTAACGCGCTTATATTCATTTATAGGCATGTTTATGAGTGAGAGACGCTGGGCTTCGAATCCCAGACCGGACCATGTGGATTTTTAATTAAATTTCATGGTTCGGTTTAGGATTTGATGTGTGCCGTATTAATAGAAATTCAATTTCTGTTGATATGACATACAGATTATAAAATCGACATGCATTACCGTCTCGATGATGGTGGGTGAGGTTTTCCGGGTTTTCCTCACCTGTAAGTCAAATGGCACCATCAATCATCTTTAAGTCGCCCCGGAGCGTCACGGCAAATAATAATAATAGCCGTCCCTTTCCCTGCACAAGCTCAGCTTTTGTGGTTAAAATTCACTCGTAAGGGGGTGAATTAGGGAGAGTATTATTATTATTATTATAAATCAGTTTTTTTTAGGTGTGCTTCTTCTAAATTATTCGAGCAAATAGCATCGCTGAGGAGTAGCATGGATTTGTGGTTGAAAGATCAATTAACATATAAATCTTTGACAATAGTCAATTTTGTTTCAGGACGAAAAAAACCAAATCCTCACTACGAACTGTTGGATCACTCAAATTTGGATCGATCATCATCTTCGATGGAATGCCTCTGATTTCGCCGGAATCAAAGTCATTCGGATACCCTACAATAGAGTCTGGAGACCAGACTTAATTTTATACAACAAGTGAGTATTTTTTTCACATTTAGCACTTCTTCCTTTTTAGTTTCTGTAAGGCCCATTGTATACTATTTCTTTTTTCTTAGTTTCTCTGATGGCCATCGTAATAATTGCCATTTTTACTGCAGCTATACCAGTTAAAAAAGCAATAGCTTCTGTTAATTCTTCAGTTTTTATAGCCTTTGCTTTTAACTATAACTACGAAAATTGCCATTTCTAGTAACTTAACTATCAGTTCTATAAGATAGGTTTTGTTATATTGTTTTAGTGTTACTACTGAAGTTACTAATGTTACTTTTAGTTACTTGGATACTGGTATTTTCAAAGAGAAATATACATAATAGTGAACTATTTTTAATACCTAGATGAATTTAAATATTTTCGTTATAAAATCGGGAAAACTGCCTTTTTTTGATATATGAGATGGCTAAAACTGTGCTCTATTACTTAAAATTAGGGTAATTCAAAAGGGTGCACTGCTTCTGAAAGAGTTGCCTTGTTTCCCCAACGGAGCTTGTTTAATAAAGTTATTAATATGTATACACACGAAATTTGATATAAAAGAGAAGCTGCAGTGATCAAAAATATAATTGAGTTGAAAAAGAGACTTCTAAAATAAATTTATATTGCGGCTTCATTAAAACTTTTCTTGTATATAAAGTAATCGACCTCAAAATTCGGTCTTTAGGGTTTTAAAAAGTTCTGAAATGTATCAGCTCTCTAAAACGTATCGTTCGCTTATTTAATTATACAGAAACATGTTGCCATTCTAACAGTACAACATTTCCACGTTCTTCTTTATAATTACAATATATTTGGGTATTACTCTAAATGCGACGCTATTTTAGAAGGTACACGTAACAAAGAAGAGAACTAAACTGATACGAAAACATCTAGTGTCTTAATTTAATTATTTTCAAATCGTTTTCCCAGACAATATTGTGATAGTGTTATTTCCTTTTTCTTAGCTTAATTGTTGTTAGAAAAATGTAGTAAAATGAAATCTTGAGTATAAAGCATTTTTAATAGTAAAAGAAGTGTTTAAAGTTTCAAATAAGACTTATTAGTTACGTAGTTTAATATAAGATATCATTCTAATATAAAAATAGTCAATGAACACTTCGGGTTTAGCAACAGGTAGAATTATGTATTTCTTGAATAAAGAATGAAAGACCAGGGTATCTTCCAAAAAATAAATTAAATGTACAAATGAACAGAACTTTTTTTTGGTGATTTTTCTGTGACGTTTTTTGTATTTCAACCCCCGTTAAACGCTCTAAAGTTTATTCAAATTTAATTTACGCCTGATGTAAACAGAAGCAGGTGGACGCTAAAATTGAGCAGGGCCGTATTTTACTTTTCCGTCTTGCAAAAATGTAAAATAAAAGAGTGTAATTGTGTAATTATTTTTTTATTACGATAAAAACATATTTTGTAAATTAAAACTATAAAATAAATGCCATACACGGTCTCCCAGACTTTAGTGACATTTTTGGACGAAGATAGGTGAGCGACATAAACTGCGTTAACCTGCAATACAAATTAATAAATGTATTTGACTTTAAAAGAGATGGTTGCATTATATTTAGTTCATTACATATGTCTACTGTGATACAGAGCATTAAAACAATCATATTATAAAATTAAATTGTACAGGGTGTCCAAATAATTGCAAATTCTTTAATAGCTAATATATATATCTACTAAAAGCATTAAAAAAACTTTAAATATAAGAGATATTTGGTATTTGAATTTGGTATTTGATTTAAAATTGTGCATCTTAAAAAGAAACCTTTTGTATTTTTGATAACTTTTGTTCTTTATTGTTCTTGTTCTACTAGTATTTAGATTAGACAACTTGTACCCTGTATTATAGCAATCTTCCTTACTTGACTTAGCACTATTCTGAATCGGAATTAGTTAGACTTGAAAGGCTATCTTTATTAATCAAAATTACAAGTGGTTCTACCTGAACCTCTATAATATTATCCAACTCCCACATTTTTACTTCAACTTTTTGGCGAACATGGTCAATACACTTTTTCCATTTTTCTGGAGAAATTAATAAAATTACTTCTTCAAAAAGAATTTTAATGTCTCCAGATTTAAATGTTGAGATTTTATCTGCTAAGTATTGTTTAACGTCAATCTAGATTAATTCAATAGGGTCAAGTTCACAATGATACGGAGACATGTGAAGTATTATGTTGTTTTGCTGCTTAGCCATTTCATCTATTACATACCTATCATAATGTGTATGTTGCTTACCAAGTTTTAGAAGTTGAATCTTAAGCATTTGGTAGTCGAATTCAATTTTTTCCCTCATAGCCATTTTTAAATATCACCTTTTTTAGACGTCGTAGATATTTTTTCCAGCTTTCTCGAATAATAATGCAGTTATCTTCTAATTTTGGTAGGGTGTTTGAAAACCACTCTTTGAACGATTCTCCACACATTTCTTCATGGTAGTCACCGGATTTTTCAACTCAAATACATAAAGTGCATTAGAGACAAAGCCTTCTTCACTTCCAATATGGCATATAATGAGCTGCTTTTACGCACATACCTGATGGGTTTTTAAAATCAGTTAAAAGTTCATCCAAAAAGGCTTGTTTGGATGAAAAAACCGACATATCGAAACATACTTTTGATTTGGTGTGGCCTGCGTTAATCCAAGTCTCATCAAGATAATATATTTTTTTGCTTTTCTTCTCTGTACCGTTTTATTTTTTGTGGCGTAGGACGAAACAATTTAATTTTTGTCTAAAAGCAAACTATTTTTTCCTCGAGTTTTAAATTTGAAATTAAGGGTTTTGAAAAGCTTGTAAAATGTAGCTCGCTTAAAAGTAGACAAATATGGATCATCGTTGACTTCTTATAAAACCTTATCAATTGTTGGAAGTTAATTTCTAAAGAAGAATTGATGTACTTTGCGCCTTATTGCATTTTTATCAAAATCATCCACAGAGCCACTAATTTGTTTATAACGTAGCTTTCTTTTTGGTTCAGAAAATTTATGAATTTGCCTATACTCCTTCATAACATTAAAAACGGTTTTAGCGCACATCCCTGTTTTATCAGCAACTCTCCTTTCAACATCATGTACCAACATATCAGAGTTCTATAAAATTTAATGCTTATAAATATTAAGAACCATTTCTTTAGTACGGATGACCAAATGTCCCTCTTTCAGTCGCTTTTTAGAAGGAGTAAAAACATTTTTCTGGACTTCATCTGCTGTATCTGTAGAGGACATAGTGTCACGTAGCAATTACAAAATATAGTCAATTAAATGTCCATAAAATAGAGTAAAACATGTTCAAACTAACAACAACCACAAAAACAAAAAAAATAAATAACACAATATATGTATATCTAAACTATAATATAATGAATTATAATCAATCAAACATACAAAATGTCCAAACTAACTAACACGGTGAATGCTACCAAAACGCCGTTTATAATTATCCAAATTGAACTGAATTCGACTCTGACAAAAAATATTTGCGCGTCGTCTAAATGACTAACGACCGATTAACCAATACAAGCGCAAAAAAATGTCACGTGAGCTGTTGCTGGATGGGAGAAATTGTTTTGACGCAGCGTAAATGAAATCTGAATAGACTTTATATTTTTGAATAATCAATAGGCTTTGTCCCCTTATAGACCTTGTTTTTAAGTTTTAATCCCCCTTGAACTCCCATTTTAAACAGAGTTTTTCAAAATTAATAGGCTTTGTCCCCTTATAGTGCTTGATTTTCCCTGAAAATTTTAAGTTGATATCATTTTTCATTTTTAACTTATCTTGTAGACAAACGTGACATCAGATGGACGAATGGACATTTTTAAAAATGGTTTGAAACTTAATAAAAAGAATTTTAATACAAAAATTTGAATCAATATTAAAAATTTTGGTGTTTTGAATCTATATTCAAAATAATGGCTACACCTTTAATTTATTTGCACAATTGGGATGCAAATACAAAAAAGTATCCGCTATTATAGTGTAAGCTGATAATATAAGAAAGTTAATATAATAATGAAAGAAAACATAAAATTGCAAAACGTCTAGGAAACGAAAATAATTTTTTTCTATACCCATAAGGATACTAGATTATCTACGCATTGAGTACAGAACGAAAAACAATGGTATTGCGTTCAACTGAACGAATATATTTCATATCCATTCTAGGTAGTAAAAACACTTCAAAAAATAATAAAATCCACCAATCACAGTTTCTATTTTGATCACCCAACTACTATTATTTTTAGAATTTTACATAAGTAACATTTCTGTCAAAGTAATTGTCAGTAAAAAATTTTTTAGTTATTGAGAATAAATAAATATTAATGGCAATGAAAAAGCTGACTCTATCGCAAAAGAAGTGGCAGCAGGCTCGACTGATGTTGGAATCCCAATCCCACTCAGTGATAAAAAAATATTTATTAAAACAACAATAGGCAATGCATGGCAATCTGTCTGGGATACTAGTAATTCACAGCTCAGGAAAATTAAACCGTCTGTTAAAAAATGGACCTATCCAAAAACAATATCAATAAAAGAACAAGTTAATTGATGTCGAATGCGAATAGGACATACTAACTCACTTGTATCTCCTTGCAGGTGGCCCTCGCCCTAGATGTGAGATTTGTCGAACACGCCTTACTGTACTCCACCTTTTAGAATGCCCCAAATATACCGAAATTAGACAAACTCTTTACTTAAAATCTAAAATAGAAATAGCATTAAACAATACAGAAAACCAAATAACAACACTCTTAACTTACCTGAGAAATATAAATATTCTTAATAAAATATTATTCTGCGATAAATTTCTCACTATAGACACCAAATTTATCGAACTAGAGCGAAATAACCACAGCTGTTAAAGCTCTTAAAAAAAAGCACCTCGGTGGTGGTGAGTTTAGAGCACTTGCCTTTTTTCTTGTTTATTCTATTTTATAAACTAGTGAAAGTTTAAATTAGTTATTTTATCTTAATA